TTCTTCTTCTGTGGTACTGGGGATCAAACTAAGGTCCTTTCACTTGCCAGACAGGCATTTATGCTGCTGAGCTATCTCCCCAGCCCCAATTGAGTATACTTTCTCCATTACAAATAACTTGCTAACCCTTATAAAACCTCAAGTTATTAGAAGTTGGTCCAGGAATATAGCTCAGCCGCACAAACAGCACCTGCCTGGCAAGCACAAGATCCTGAGTTTGATGCCCACCACCAGGAAAAAAGTTACCACATTTTCTAGAAATACAGTTACTCAACTCCTGCTGATAGTGATTAGCCAGTTATTGTGTCATTGTTGACTTGTTAATTCTTCTTAACCACAAATATAATCCCAGTTTGTATAAATTCAATGATGCTAGCTTCCTTTAATTGCATTTTTCATTGTTTGATACCACTGTGTTGCTTCATTGTAGAGTTTTAAAATAATACCACAGGCTACTTGGGGAAAATTTGTTTTAACTTCTTTTTTTAAAGAATTTTGACTATCCTTAGCTAGGGATGGTGGCACACACCTGTAAAACCAGCTCTTGGAGGCTGAAGCAGGAGGCTGACGGAAGTATTGCACCAAGTTCAAAGCCAGGCTGGGCACAGAGTGAATTCAAGGACAGCCTGAACTACACAGAAAGACCCTGTCTTAAAAAGCTAAAAGAAAAAAAAAAATTGTAACTATTCCAAGTAGCCTATATGTTTTAAGAAAATAAAATGTTAGGCCAGCAAGATAGCTCAGCATGGGCCGGGGAGATAGCTCAGTAGAATAAGTGCTTGCCTTGCAAGTGCTAGGGCCTGAGTTCAATCCCTGGTTCGGGCAAAAAAAAAAGCTCAGCAGACTAAGCACCTGCTTAGGCAAGCACAAGAACCAGGGTTCAATCCCTGGCACCACATGCCAAGCCAACCACCAAGACTGGGCATGGGGGTGCACACCTGTAATCCCAGCGCTGGGGAGGCTGAGACAAGAGGATCACTACAAGTGTGGGCTGCATAACAAGACCTTGTACCAAATTCATTTTTAAAAAAAGAAAACGTTTTTGCTACCTATCAAAAAGTTAATATTGGGGCCAGGGAGATGGCTCAGTGGAATAAGTGCTTTCCTGGCAAGCGCAAGGTCCTGAGTTCAATCCCTGGTTCTGCCAAAAAAAAAAAAAAAAAAAGTTAATATTGACTTTTGCATAATGAGATTGAAAATTAATTCTTTATGGGAAAATGTCTAGAGGCAAAAAAAAAATTAAGCAGTAATTTTATATAGACAAAAACAAAACACACTTTTCAGCAATACCAGTATC